ATACAATCAATATAATATAACAAAAACGTTATTATAGCACTATAACTAAGCCATTTATGAGTACTGAGTGGTGTGGTAGAGGCCTGAGGCACCTACGCCAGTAGCGCTTTTCTGCCGCTTATGTACATTTTCTACGGAACTACTTCAAATATTTTAAAAAGTAATCAGTGTTTTAGAAAGAGAAATGTATTTTCCAGATGTTTTATTTCAACACGTTTTGCATTATTGTAGACCGTTTAATTACAAACGACGCTTGATTTTAAGATTGAAAAATTTTTTGTAACAAAAATTGACTTTACCGATTTTTTTTAATGCCTAAACCAATTAGTTTTTAATATTTTTTCATGTTTTATTATTCTATGACTATCCAGCTTTAATAAAAGACCAACTATAATGAAATTAAGCCAAATGCTGATTCTCAGTAACAAAAAAACTAACTAAAGTCAAAGTCGTCAATCCGCCATGTTTGGACGCCATTTTGGGGCAGTTCGTTCACTTTTTTTTGTGGGAACATTGGCTTTTTTTTAATAAATTGTCACAAGGAACACAACGATATGCAATTTATAGGGATGTGGGGGGGATGCACGGTAAGGGGGTCTGGCCCACAGACTTAACTACCTGTATCACGTTTATTAGTGTCGCTATCTGCGGGAAACGACCTTGTTTGGTATCCAATGACAAAACTGTAGTTAATCTATGAACGGATTAGTCATAATGACTAATTTTGTTGTTATATCAAGCCAAACTGTGTAGGAATGGCTATTGTTTAAGGTTCAAATAAATTGTCAGAAAATCATTGATGTGTCGTTAAAATAAGTTACAGGTTATATAAAGCTAAATATGTCAACAACAAAAAAAATCCCTGTCATTATTACAACATCTACCTAAGTGGAAAATAGGAGAAGTAATTTTTTAAAAGAATTTTCCCTCGCTATTTTCTCACATTTAAAACTATGGATTAATGAAGAAACATTTCTTTATCTCAATATTATTCTCTACTACATATTCGTTGTGATCAGGGATTAGGAAATCAAATTATTTTTATTAAAGATTTTTGAAATTATCTCAACAATTTTTTTTTCTCATATTGATAAAAGACTTTAAGAAAAATAACAACTAAAATTCAACTCTCAATTTTATTTCAGGATTTGATAAGCAATAAATTATTAAATTTAATGTCACAAAAATACATTAAAAAATCTACTTGTATCAGTTAAATCTAACCCAAAGAAGCGCTTCCAATAGGAATATATAGCTTAGATAAGCAATAAATTATTAAATATTATGTCACAAAAAATACATTAAATTAAAAAATACCCAAATACTTTTTCTCTATTATGAATTATAAATAGAAGTAATATTTAAATTGTAAAATAAATAAAAACCAATGCAATTTTTATGTTTACAACTTAACATCAGCCTAATGTACATCAGATAAGAAAAGTATCACCTATTTGAGAATTACAATTAATTTCATTTATTTGAACTTATTTATTGAGTAATATTACAATCTGTCACAATTAAGGACATTTATAATAGTCTAACATATGTCTATTATAGGCCATAGGTCACCAAAAAAACACAGTTTTTTTATATATTACATGTATGTTTATTCAACGTTTCGGCTTCAGGAGCCATTTTCAAGAACCTGCAAACTAAATTTTAATTTGCTTTTTACCATTCAAGTATAGCCTCAGACAATAAACTTGTATCATTCACCTACCATGCACCGCGCCATAAAATTTTTAAAATTTGTCACTACGATATGACTCGTCCCAATTCATTCTTTTATTTCAAAGAACGTCGTTTTCCGTTTCTAAAAATTATAATATATAATTATAAATTTAAAAAAAAGACTGCTATAATTAATTTAAATTTTTTTTAAATTTTTGATTTATATATATACCTCTATTTGCAGACGGTATCAAGAAAGTATTGTTCTTCAATAGGGCATTCATACAGGACTGGATTTACTTACATCAGGAGTGGGGTGGAGGGATGAATGATACAAGTTTATTGTCTGAGGCTATATTTGAATGGTAAAAAGTAAATTAAAATTTAGTTTGCAGGTTCTTGAAAATGGCTCCTGAAGCCGAAACGTTGAATAAACATACATGTAATATATAAAAAAACTGTGTTTTTTTTGGTGACTTATGGCCTATAATAGACATATGTTAGATTATGAGAAAATGGCACCAAACCCGAAGGATGGGACTAGAAAATTTATAATAGTGTTCAAAGAGCACATTCACACTCTATTTACAATAAATAATACAAAAAATAAATAATACTAAAAGTAAATTTATATAAACAAAATAACTGAACTAATCAAAATAACAACTTAAACACAAACATACTACAATTAAAATTAAAATCAAACAAAAAATTACTCTAGATCGATGCACTTCGAGATAAACGTTAGTGTTCACATAATAAAATAGTCACTGAAGTTAATCTAACCGATGACCTCAATATTTCCCTATCTATTAAATTCCAAGACATTATTTTTACAATTCGGAATTATTTCATGGAAACAAATCTTCTGAACGATCATGTAATAGAATTGCCATTAGTTGGTTTTAATTAATCTCATTAGATTTATAATTTATATAAACTGGAGCAGTAACGATTGATTGTTTAAATTTTCATTGCTAAAATAAAGTTCTGATCATATTGTGTGAAAAACTGTATATAACTTTGTTAAATTAAATAAATAAATAAAACAATATCCATAAAATTCAAAGCCTGCTATTAAATATTGATTAATTAAACAACGGATTAGGATTTAATGTTCCATAACATTGAAATGTTACATGATTAATGAAAAAAAAAATTAAAATAGGGCAATAGAAGAAAGTACTCACATATATATAGTGATAAAAAATGCTTTAGTTACTGTTATTGTCAATACAAAAATGGCCAGTGTAGCCATAGGTTAGATGCTTTTACCGTTAATCCCAAGTCTCCCACATTTAGAAGGAGGCCCATTTAATGCGTTCTTAAACGACATTAATGTTTTCAAAATTACTCATAATTGGGATTTGACCTCAAGCCGCAGATGCCGGAACTCGGAAGTGCAGAAATTACTTGGATTTAAATGTCTACAGCGTGGGTTAGGACCTTCTAAACATTCAAATGCCTTGCAAAGATTGCTAATGCGCATACGTAATTGTAAACTTTCAATATTTCATAGTAATAATGTTCATCATAAATTGTAAAATGCATAAACGTAAACTAATATCACATTATAAAAAGTTTAAGTTTAAGTGCTCAAAGATCAATCAATGAGAAAGTTCTTTTTTTTTTTTGGTTTATTTTGTTTTTACTTTCCCACGAAATTCAGCAGGTCATTTCTAAATTCAGAATAAATCGCCGTACATTGGTGCTGTATTCAAAGGATTGACAAATTCCTCCTATGGAGTTTGCAATTCGTTTAGGAACTTGCTCAATTTTAATTTTTAAAAATGTTTATCCGCGATAGGAATATGAATCACAGGCAATTTTAGACTCAAATTCATTTCTTGAATAATATTTAACATTATGAATAAAATTTAATATATTTTATTTTGTCTTGAGTGAAATGACCCCTCGAATTTTGATTGAATTTTTTTCAATTCTCTTTGAATAAATCAAATGTTTTGAGACGTTTTAGTAAAAAAAAAAAAAAATTAAATATGGTATGTACATATGTTTTCAGTAAATTGAAAAAAAAAATGTATGAACAAGACTAACTTTTCATGAATAAATCAAAACAATAAAGGAGTTTGAAGGAGGAATAAGAAACTTTGTCGCCGTAGTGAAAGAAACAAGTTAAGTTTCAAAAACACATTCACTGAATTTTCCTTTAAACTTATGTTATATTTTAAAGTTTGATTTTAATTGATTTAGGAGTATTTATCTATTCTTAAGAGAGAGATGTATACCGAAAACAATTCATTGAAAACATTTGTTCTGCTTTTTGATTGTTTTTAACTAAATAATTCCATAAAATGATTATACATATTTTAAAGTACTGTTATAAGGTTTTAGGCCCCCTTTGGGGAGAAGGCAAGAAAAAAAGAGGCCGAAATTAATCTTGCCACTCTCAGAAATAAAAAATCTCCGTTTCGGCTCTGTATTGTTATTACAAATCAAATAAATTCACTTAATTCGCTAATATATACAAAAAATATATACCGATGTACATTTAAGTGTTGGTACTTAAAAATAAATTAACAACGAGATTCACTATTTAAGACATATTTGAGGATATTTAAAATATTATTTTTTCATCTTTGTAAATTTACGATCATGAAAAATAATTACACAAGATAGTTTCAGCATTTTTATTTAATTGCCAAAAGAACCTTGTGAGGTGTCATGAAATTTTCATGATTAAAAACTTTCAAAGCTGGTATATTTACAAAACTCACTCATTAAAAAGTCTTCAAATTAACTTTTATTTAATTAATATCATGAGAATTATTCAATATTGCATGATTATAAATTTTTGACGGTGTTTGTAATTGGCGCGCTTATTCTTGGAAAGTGGCTGCAGTCGCAGTTAAGATTGATCTATCTTAACAGCTGTTCAATGTTTTGTTCGAGATAACTTGTAAACTGTAGGTAGCTTGTGATATTTAATTTGTTTAATAATTATGACATAAAGGAATACTTCTTACACCTTACTGTTTTACTTTTACAGCTTGTTATCGACAAAGATTTTACGAGCACGCAACAATTAAAGGTAGGGATTACTTAGAAAGTATGCAATAGCATTGCATTACCAGGTAGTCACTTGATATTCACATTCGTTTATAACTAACTGGTCGAGGGTATTGGTTTATTTATTTTGACATCATCAGTTTAATCAACTGTTATTATTATTGCAGTTGTTACCTCACGATTAACGTGATATTTTGCATTTGCAGCCTTAACAGCAATTTGACTGATACCCAGTGTTTTTCTGAATGCTCTATTATACAGTTAATTCGTAATTTGTTATATTTAAATACTACAGAATGTGGATTCCAGTGAAGGTTCGTTTTTTTTTGTTTTGTTTAATTTATTTTTATGGTTAATTGTTATTTACTTAGTTTCTTTTGTTTTTGATTCAAACATATATTATAAGTAAGTAAATTCAAAGGTCTTCATTTTCTTGTACATGTTTTTTGATATCTTTAATGAATTTTAGATTCCCAAAATGCAAGGAGTTGCATTTAAGTTTGGTGAGCGGAGAGATGATTGGAAATGCTGCTTTTGCTGTCATGTACGAACAGCAACCATATTTCTTGGGATATGGCATTTGGTGAGTTAATAATACCTTATTATATGTGAAACCTTCAAATATCTACTAAATTATTAATTAATTCTCAATTATCCTTCTATTCAACTTCCTTATCACATAAGTTTCATGTTGATTGCTATTTCAATTTGTAGCTCTAGTTAAGAGATACGATGAACATTATTTTAGTCAACTTTATAATTAGTAGTCTCCTCGATTGGATACTAGCATTTCTTTGTTTAATTCACTGATTCATCTTTCAAGGTTGACTTGTCCTATTTCTTTATATACATACAGATGCACTTTGTTAAAAGCGAAGTAATTGCTTTTGTCCCTTAACTAAGCTTTCTGATAATTTGCTGTGTATCTGATGAATACAATATACTATTCTATATTTAATAATTTTCACATTTGAATTAATGAGCAAAATGATTATATTTTGATTTTTCTTTAATGCTTTTTTAGTTGAGAAATTAAAATGTCAAGTACTTCTTATTATGGGTTATATCTAGAGAACTGAAAATCATTTAAATTTAAACTTATTATGAAAGTTCTATGAAAATTACTGTATTTTTTTATTTATGCTTACTCTTTCAAATTTAGATGACATCAGCTATATCTGTATTCTAAAGTTCATTTTTTAGTGATTAGGTTATATATTTTTGAAAACTATTTAAACTTGCAATATCATTATTTCTTTTTAATGTTACCTACAAAACATATTTAGAAGTATCATTTGTAATTTTATTAGTGAAAATCTTTACTATCATAACCCTGTAAATTATAAAACTGATTTGAACTGTGCTTTTTTTTTTTTTTTTTTTTTACATCCTATAAGCTTGGGTGCTCAGTATGAGTTCTTTCAGTTCTTTGTCAATTCTTGAATTAAAGTTATTTTTGCTACATATTAATGTACTCATTGTTATGTACTGTTTTGTATAATTTTGTTATGCCATTATTATAAATTTTATTAATAATAATAAAATTACTCAATTTGATCACAAAAGTTCACCTTTATTTTTTTCTTTATTAGGCTGTGATGATTGTTTTGTTTGTTAAAGGTTTCTTCCCTTCTTGAAAATGGTCTAAGGGCTGAAACATTAAAAAAAAGAAAGAAATAAAGTAGAACTTTTGTGATCAAATTGCGTTGTTTTTATTACTACTAATAAAATGAAAGTTTTCAGCTCCGAAATTGAAATATATCACCGGTTTTTTACAAGTCATTATGTGGCATTTCATAACCTCAAATAATTCAGAACTTTCATGAATTTTATCTTTGTGAAATCAGAAAAATTTGTACTTTGTGTAATTACATATGTTAAATAAAAGGAGATATGTCATTTTCATGAACTTTACGATGTTGTTGTAGGATAAATAAGGTTAAAGTTTCCATAAACATATTTAAAGTTAAAAGCAAAAAAAAAAAAAAAAAATGACAATATGTATTGATAAATTTTGTTTTGAATCACATAATTTAAAATATACAGTATGTAGGCCCTAATTGTGTTTCCTGGACTGATGACAGATTGTAAAGGAACTGAAGTAGAACAAACTGATAGGATGGAAAAAGTTGTTGCTGAATTGCAAAATATCAAAATCTGGTGCAGTGCACTTATCACACAACTTTCACTTACCCTCTTCAGAGTAGATAGGTATTTTCTTATAGAAAGACAAAGTTAAAACTACTGTATAACTTCATTTAAAACAATTAAATACCATGTTTTTCTCCATCTATTGAATCATTTAAATTTATAAATTTGCATCGCCATTTCCTTTTACGACTGTGTATGGTATCAAACAATACTAATGATTGTGGAAAAAACGTATCTTTAGGAAAATTCTTAGTTTTATTGAAAACATTTTCACTCTATAAACTAATGTTAGTAAATATTGCATATTATTAGATTTATATTAGTAAATCCTCAACATTTTGCATGAAAACTTTTTTAAAAAAATATGGGCGAGTGATACCTAAATGTTAAACTAACAGTATGAAAGCCCTTTACAGAGGGTTGCCAGTAGGTATCTGTAAAGGAAGAGGATCTGCAAAAGTCGGACGCTCTCGGTTGAACAGCCGAGCTTCCTACATAGGTTATATGGTATAGCTTCCTACCCTTATTCCCCCTATTTAACCCTTATTAACCATTTTTTATAGTAGGTTAAAATGTAAAATGGTTAATTATTTCAAATATAAAAAATGATAGGTACTTTAGAGGAAGACATTTTGAAAAAATTGGCATTTAAGCTCTGGCATGTATCGATAAACCTAAAACCTACCATAAATTAAAAAATAAAAACAAAGCATTAAGTTCTGATTTTATAATCTTTTTGCTTTTATATATATCCAAATAGTTTTAATAAACTATATTTTCTCATAATTTATCAAAACAAGATTATAATTTTTTTCCTATATTTTACTGCCTTAACTTTTCAATAACTGATTACATATCTAAAATTTGATAACACTAATAATTATAATTTATTTTGAATTTTGTATTGCTACCAGTACAATCCTCATTGGTTTTATTAAACTAAGAAAGTGTCCAATGGTCATTCAATTTGTAAGTTTTGTTTCCTATTTAACCTTATCTCTGCTATTTTACCAATTGCTTCATTCTACTTCTTCTACAGCTTTCATGTTTCTTACAGCTCTTATTTTTTGTTCATTACTTGTGACCAAATCAAAGCAAATTAAAGAAAGAAAAAATTTCTGAGAATATTTACTTCGTATGTATTTCATGAATATTAATCATGTCTTATAAATTAGGAAAAAATAAAATATTTTGACATCTTATCTTTTTATTGGTTAATTTTTATTGCATAAGCTATACTAATTTAATAGTCTCTTTAAAATATTTTTATTTTATGAAACTTATTCACATATTTTAAGTTTACTGACTGATTTTAAATTGAAAGGAATTGCATACTAAGTTGAAAACTAATTTGTTTTTGTATAAGAATTCTTTTATTTTTATTATTTTAAAATTATCAAGTTTTAACTTTCTACTTCTATAGAATATTAATTAAAGGAAATAAAAAATATATTACATTTATGGAACATTTTGTTGGTTTATTGCAAAAAGTTACCTTAAATAATTAAAAACTTTAAACAGTTTCCACTTGGTGCGATCAGAAAATTTTGTGCTTGTTGTTGCTATAATTGATACATAAAAAGATTTTAGTCATTTTCATGAACTTGCGATGTTTTTGTATCGATAAATAAAGTCGAAATTCACAAAGATATGCTTGAAAATTAACCTTACATCATAAAAAAAAACTTAGTGACATGATAAATAAATTGATGGTATAATGAGTTAAGTATAAATACTTAACAATATTCAAGTTGTTAAATAGAAATATTCAGTTTATATTATTATTTTTTTTGTCAAGCCGTCATAACAATGGGATGTGGGACAAGTTTTATCGTTTGTTTTTTAATTTGTTAAAAAATACTGTTCAAAGTATTTTAAACAAGTTAGAACCCTGAGAAAATTGTAAATTTGGCAGATTACAATTAGTACAGCTCTATTTTTGAGCTAAAACACTTTCAAAAATTTCTATGAATTTGAATGTAGGTGTGTACAGGAGGAACAAATCATCTGGAACTTAATTATTAGAACCAACTATTATATCATTATTCATACTTCTATAGCACTTTAACATTAGGTGGGTATTACAAAAAATTTCTTTGTCAATTCAAATGTAATAATGCACAGAAATAGTATTAAAATTGTTAAAGAGCCTCCTGTAGTAGCTTTCTTCTCCATTCTTTAGGAAATCTTTGAGTTCAATGTCCTTATCTAATGCAACTAGGGGAAGAATGAAAGATAATCCTGCTGGTAGACAGCCTATTCTCGACTGAATGGGAAGGGTATTAATTTTAACTCTTCCAGTTCAGTTTTGAACCAATTTCACTTCTGGCTCAATAATTCTAATGCGATGCCTTAAAAAACTCGAGGTTTCTTTTCAGGAAGTTTAATATATCTTGTAATCTTCTTGTTTTATCATTTGTTTTAAAATATTTCTGCTTGTTCCATCACTTAAAATATTTTTTTCTGATGAGTAATGCTTTGTTGGTAGTAAAATGTTTATTATAGAATTTTTTTTCAAGTTAAATGTTTACATGGTTTACAGGTCCTTAAATATGATTTGTTTTTTAATAAAGTTGTTCTTTCTCTCTTATCTTTTTATGTATGATGCCACATATTCAAATAAGTATGTTTTTATTTACAACACATTTTTTTAAACTTATTTTTAGCTCCTTCATATGCTGACATTGTCAGTAGTTGCTGTAGTCATTCGGCATCCTGAAATGGTAACAGAACCAACAGCTCCAGCGTTACCTACACCTTTAAGCAGCGAGTTAGCAAATCCAGCTAATTATTCTCCCAACTCTTATGGGAAATTCCTTGCCAGAAACCCAGGAGAATCACGTAAAAAATCTTAATACATGTTAATTAAAATAAATATTTAAATTTAATTGAACAATTGTAAGGTGTCATATCGTTGGGTGTATGCTAAACTAGGGAATCGGTAGAAATACAACTTTTCAGGAGGGCCAAAAAAACACTTTCTAATCTTCCTTGAATTAGAGCGCTGCTCTTCCAAAGTTCGATCTGTAGTGTCTTCTATTTTAACTTTTCTTTGAAGAATTTTATGATATAATCCAAAAGGAAATTAAATATGAAAGGTGCCTCAAATCCAATTCGTATCTCAAAATCTCAATTTTTGGAGATTTGCTACTTTAACATGAAACCATCGATAAGTTTTAAAATTAAGTTTTACATTGTGATTACATTTCTTCTACTATGCCCTTAATTCTAACATTTTTAGCTTATATATATGAGGAAATACCTGAATAAATGAACATCACTTATGTAAAATTCTCACTCTTGATTATTATTAATCCAATTACTATACATTTTTCATTATTATCATCCGACTAATAGTGTGTTAGTTTTACTGATTTTTAAAAACCTTTTCCACTTCATTTTCTTAAATTTAAAATGATTAAAAGTGTTTACCAATCAAGATTAAATGATCTATGGTTAGAAACCTCTGTGTGAGTTTCTTTGTCATATCTTTTTGCAATTATATACCAGTTGATAGCAAAAAAATAGCTATGTATATTAAATTTCTCATTGAATAGTGTTTTTCCTCAAATATCTTTTCCTATTTTTTAAAATAGTAATTCTACTGATGATTGTTTTATTTCTACAATTTAATAGGTTAATTTTTTTAGTAAAAATATAATTTGAGTTTATTATTCAATGTTTGTAATATTATAAGTTTCTTACAGGCAGACAACACAATATTTTTAAATTAATAATTCACCCTTTTGAGGGCCAAAGTACTTCATTATTGCTTCAAACTCGTTTTAATACAACTTTATAAATGTTGAAACATAATAAACTTTATGACATGTTGTCTCTAAGATTAGGATGATTTATACTCATTTTATGAAAAATCAATTGCCAATAATTTGTATTACTTTTTTTTTCTTTATCCAGGATTTGCTATCTCTATTTTACCAACCCTCGTCCCTCAGCCCATCTCCCTCAATACAAAGTCCTTGGCGCGAGTCGTGACTGGCAGTAGTGGTGATCATGTTACAATGTCAAAAATAGTTTTGTTTATAAAATTTACAAAAAATATTTTTAAAAATCACATTAGCTAATTATCAATATAGATTAGACTCAGTGAATAAGTAGTCGAGTAAAAAATTATATCTTTTCATTGGAGTAAGTTTTCCATGTTCAATCAATGTTAACCATTCCAGGAATCTCGCTATTTCACTTTGCATTGGGTCCCAGATTCAAAACCTGGTTCAGGCAAGGCAGTTATTTATTATGTTACACCATCAATGGATTGACCCTGGAGTCCGGAGACCCTCCTGGGTCACATACCGGCTCTTTAAAGTGGGTACTTATTAAATAATTTATTAAGGATAGAAATCTGATGGTTAAGTGTGATCTTGGTCCAATCATCTTGCCCAACCTCTTTGATTAAGAGGTACTTTCTTAAACAGTACTGAATCCAAGACCCTCCATGAGCTGTAGTATCACAGATTTTTTTTCTTTTCTGTGTCTCCTAACCAGTTTCTGAATCTGACATGGTCATGAACGCCATTATTAGAAATCACTCCTACAATCCTGATATTCATATGTTATATTTTTGTCCTGACATGAATTGGCTACTTATTTACTGGGTATAATATATTTTATTAGTTATATTAATTATAAATGAATTATTCATCCAATTGATCCAATTTTAAAAACATTCAGTCAGTTTATACCTAATATGTATATACCAGATCATTCCATAAGTAATATGAATGTTTTAAAAATCTATCTGTTTATTTTAATATTATTAATCCCTCCTTTAAATTTTATTTACATATTTTGTTTATTATATGTTATATACTCCTATATTTATCATGTTTTTGTTAGGGAAAGTTAGTTATTCTGTAGTGAAATTTCAAAAATGGATACCCCCAAAAACCACTTACACCGTGTTATGCTTTGGTAATTTGATAAAGACGAAAATGCTACTTCAACTTATCAGAAACTTGCAGAAATATATGGAGTACATGTCATTAATGAATAACAATGGTTAAGTTTTGGAGAAACATCGTAAACAGGAGGGAGAGGGGGACTTCATCTGAAAAAAGTAACAATGTCTGTTTTGTGAGACATGGAAGGAATCCTTCATCATGTATCGCTTGATCTTAACCGAACTACCATTGAAGATCTTTACTGTTATCAGCAGGTTCAATTAAAGCTGGCTATTGGGGAAGAACATTCCTCACTTATCAATAGACGAGGCAATTTATACTGCTATGACAATATCAGGCCTCATGTTGCAAAACAAACATTACAAAAATTGAAAAACTTTAGATGGGAAATTATTCCTCACCCACCATATTCTCCTAACTTAGTGCCTTCGGATTATCACTTTTTTTGCAGTCTTATCTGCTGGCAATCTTATTATTCTTCTAATTGAATTAATCTATTCTTGAAACATAAATTCAGTCTATTAAATGAAAACAAGGTGTTGGCTTTCTTTAATTCAAAACCAAAGGATTTTCTCAGAAAAGATATTCAAAATTTGGTTTCAAAGTAGCAAACTGTTATAGAACAAGATAGTAAATAAAATTTAAATTGAACTGTTTTATTGATTTTATCCTACCCTTTACAACACCCAATTAAGTACCAACATTACTTACGGGATGATCTGATGTATATTTATTTAATGTTTTTTAATTATTGTTATTTATTTATTTCAGAAAGATTGAATGTCAGTATCGTTGTTATATTTTCAACTTTTGTTATTACTTTATTGATGGTTTATGGAGCTATTAAAGGAAAGCCTTCTTACCTGATGCCTTTCTTCTGTCTTCAGCTGTTTGATTTCTGTGTTACGAGGTAAATTAGAATATTAACTGAAATTTTAAAGTATTTTTAAAACTATAAGGTGTAGTTTTCTCAACATATTCCCGGGAGTATGTTGGGGATTTTGTATGATTGGTAATGCGCAGTGAATTCTGCTATAGTTGGGAAAGTCATCATGAGTTTTCAACTTAAACTTCATCCTCAAATTTCAGTTGTGGTATAACCAATTGCCACAGTTACCGAATAAATAAGAATTCTTGTAAGTAAATTAAGTCAAATGGGAACAGATACATGGAATAGCTTTGTGCTTTTAGTGAATCTGTGTAAGCATTATCTCATCCTTGGCTGGTAATTTTTTATTATAGTAAGGTTTTATTTGTTATAACTTTTATTACCGATGCATTGATTTAGGATTAGTAGTTTTAATCATGAACTCATTTTAATTATGAACTTTTTTAATTAATCAAGAAAAAAACAATACCCCTCCCCTCTTTGTAAAATCCAAAATTTTTCCAAAGCTTTTCTTCCTGACTACTGGATTGTTTATTTATTTTTTCAATTTATATTTAAAGCCTGCTCATCCCTGGAAGAACTTTGGAACTGAACATTATCATGTATCATTTCATTCCAAGGTGTTGGATGTATGGAGGTTTTATATGCTGATGTCCATGGGTTTTTCTTCGAGGCTGTTTTTTTTTTTTTTTTTTTTAGCATACACCACTCTTGCTGGGATAATCCTTGGAACTTGACATTACCATTATCCCATTCGTTTAAAAATTGCAGTCATTCAGAAATTTCTTATTCCTATATTTCTGTAAATTTCTATAAATTTACAATTTAAAATTTATATTTTCTTTAATTTACAATTTTCTTTAAATTTACAAATTTCTGTAAATTTTGTATTCATTGATGAAGACAGAGCAGAGTACAAAGTGTTTTCTTGAAATAATTATATATTCCAAGCATTTAAAAAAATATATTAATAAATAATAATGGATGTATATTTGACAATATTTCCATAATTGGAATTGTATTTTCTTATTACTATTTTATAGCATGTTTATAAAAATGTTGCTAGTTTGTAATTTTCTGAAAAAGTCTGGAATTTCAATTACCAAATCGGTGGTAATCGTATTTTTTTCTTTATTCTAACCCTTTGTAGGCAGCCTTGCTATCCAATGATGGCAATCATGTATTTCGTTATTATCAGAAAAAAATATTACTAAGTTCATATTATTCTATCGGTTACTCATCCCTTACAATAGAAGTAAGGAATAAATTTCCTAACCTAAGTCATTCAATGTTTAACAGTAAAAAGAACATAAAATTTGTCTATAGTGATTCTTCGTAAGTAGTAGAAGAAATAATAAATCTTTTGTTTTTGAACTCATTGTTATTAATAAATCTATATTTTATCTTGTTTTATGAATATATAAACTTAATTTTTTTAAAACCTTATAAATGAAAATTTCTCTAGTTTCGCTAAATAAAATTATCACATAACATCATTGGAGATGTGAAACAGCACAAATATTGTATTGCGTCCAAAATATAGCTAGTGTTAAGCTAGCTAATGTTAGCGCCCAGTTGATGGTTTAATGTAACTAATAATTAATTTGGTTAAGAGATCATTATAAAAATATCAAGGAATAGATATCAATTAATATGAGAAATAAATTATAGCAATTCTGAGATTATTAACTTAGTAAAATACCAAATAACCTTTGAAATAATGAACTGTAAATTGTTTAGCTGATTTCTTTAAGATATTTTAAAGGAATGAAATAAAAACTACAATATATTTGTCTAGACGTCATAAAGTTTTCTCATTTTTTTTTTGTTCCTTATCATATTTACAAAAAAAATATTTTCACAAGTTTGTGTAATGATGTAGTTCACATGAGTATAGAATTATTATGATTCTAGCACCCAACTGGGACACTTTCCTTTATTCATAGCAATTCATTATTTTTAACTCCGCATTTATTTATATTATATTTGAAGATCTTAACTTCCCTAAATTAATCAACTAATTCATTTTTGTAGTTTGACTGCTCTTACGTACCTGTGTTATCTACCTGATATGCATCGAATCGTAGCTGAGTCTCCCCGTGTGCCAATGCAAGCCCAGTTATTGCAACTGTCTCCAGAATCGTTAGCACTCATCGTCCTCTTCACTTTTGTAACTGCCATGCTTCTTAAGGTAAATATATAATTAAGTATACATCATATGACCATTTTTCTATGAATTATTAAGATGAAATGATATTTGTTACCCATATTTCTTTTATAATAAATAACTAACGTATATAGAATAAAAACATCAGAGAAGCAATTTACCAACATATTCCTCCTCACTGAAATAGATAACATAATATGCAAATCATGGTTATTTTCCACTAACACTTTAAAATCATAAGTTTTGATGAGAGTCCATTGTGGATTGGTTGGTTAGTTATGTAATAAAGGCGTAGAATCTGTTGATCATCAGCGCCGATAATCAAAATTATATATTATTATATCTTTTGGTTATAAATATTAAGAACTGGATAAAATTTAAAAAATATAAAATGCACGTTAAGGTTAAAAGTTGTTTATTGTTATTAAAGTTAAGTTATATAAAGTTCGCACGTTAGGTAAAAAAGGAAAAGGAAAAAAAAAAAAAAAAAGTAAGAAGGAAAAAAGAGATGGGGACTGCTGTGTGAGAGGTTCAGATATTTCTTAAGATTCCTTCTTTGGAAAGAAAATATATGATTTTTCCCAGGATTTTTTCATCATTTCCCAAAGCAGTCGGTGTATTTGCTGATATTCCCCTTATGTTTAATTGTCTAATGGAAAAGGCACAACTCTCGAAGATATGGAAAATCCATTGTGGATTTTCCAGGTCTTTAGAACAAATTTAAGAAACAGCACAGAACAATTTAGACAAAATTATTTCTTTCTTTTTTATTATTAATAATAAATCTAATCTATATTATAATATATTAGATTAAGCACACTTTTTTAACCAGTATTAAATGAACTTTGACTAATTTTCTTTAATTTAAGTTTCATTAATTTTGTTTATGATTCTTGTATTTATTTATTTATTTTTTTTAAATTGACCATTTGAAGTTATATGAATCTCAGAGTTTCTGATTTTGTATTAAAAGATATCACAGTATTTGTTTTGTTCTAAGACTTTAAAATAGTAGAAGCGGTTCAGATACACCTTATTCATTCCTCCTTTTTTAAGCTCATTTTTGTTGTGAGGCTAATATATCATCTATGCGATAGTTTTTGTGTTGGATATTTACCCATCTTCTTCCTTTTACATTCAAAGTATAAAATATATTACAGAAAAATGTTTAATCGTATAAACAATAAATTATTATCAAGAAAACTAACACTTTTTAAAACTACATTGTTTATGAGGACTACATTGAAGTAACATTTTAATCTTAATACAAAAAATGAGTCTTAAGCAATAAGACTCATCTATCTGTAAACCAATACAAATCTTGTATTGTCCTCTCTGCAATTTGATTGGTGCATAAAATCCTTGGCCTGTAGTTCTCTCACTTATTCAGAATGGAACAAAGAAGAAACTAAGGCTACATTCTAGAACATTAAACATTCAAATTGTAGATTCACATTTAAGAAAATTAAAATTTTCCCTAAATGTTTTAAAAGGATCAAAAAGTTTTTCCATATTATGATGCCTTAAAGACAACAAACTACTGTTTGGATATTTATTTCATTTGCATGATCTTTTATTAAAGGAATTGAAATTGAGATTCTTCACTTCTCCATGAAATTTTCTTTTAACTATATCGTATTATATAACTATAATACTGTGTAATATTTATCAAAAATTAATATATTTAGTGATCATACCTTTATAAATGTTTATGACTAAATAACAGGGCCAAAAACAAAAATGTTTTACTATAACTGTTCTTCTGGTGAAATCCAAACTTATATTATTACGGAAGGCTCGAAATCCATTTTGTACCAAATATAATCTCCTTTCATACTCAAATGCCATGAATGGGGTACCATTGGATTCAGAATTTCATGGGGGGTTAGCGAATTGTACGCTCTACTCTTGTTTTTCTTCCTAAAATAAATGAAAGTTGATTAAACCTTTTGTTAGGCTTCAATCCTGGAATGTTTGTAAATTGATACTGGACAAATTGAGATTTGAAGATTTTGACGCAGTGACCAATAGGTCCTTCGCAACTATCGGTTTCTGCGTTTTCAAGCCCTAAAATGTACCATTTTTGAGATAAGGCAAAGCAAAGCATTCACAGCCTAACAACCTCACGTTGATTGTAGTGCTGCCATGAGATTCATGTCTCATGTCGTCAACTTGAGGTCCCTATGACCGAGAGAGCAGGAGTTTATATTATTTATCACTGGTGATTTTTTTATCGTTACACCATATCTTCATTAATTCTTTATCAAACTTAAAAATTGAGTCATCATTTTCAAGGTTTCCTTCTCCTTTAGGTGAGAAAAATAGTTATATCTTCCCAAAATTTCAGGAAAAATGTATGAAGGAAAAGAAAATTTATTTGCAAATAACTAAAAAAGTATATACTTCTACATTACACTCTTAGTTATTTAAGTGTTAACGATGGCTATAGTCACACTGAGTGCCCATACTCCTACCCTCAGTACTAATGTCAGCTATAGTCGCGTCAACCTTGCTACGTTCTGGTTTTCTAGTGAAGTAAAGCTTCTAACTAGAACTCACAGATGGTGTGAGGATTTATTTTGGAGCTTTTCTTGTAGAATTCATGAACCATTATGGGTTAACCTGCTACGACCTTTTTCTGGTTGACTCTACCATTTGCATTCTATGTGAAACAACCTTGTGCTCAACTGCTCTCAGTTTTTTTTTTTTTATAAATTTTGTTTAGTTTAGTTATTTTAGTTAGTAATTGTATCAAATAGGATTAGTTTAGTTAGTTATGTGGCCGTATATATTAATTATTTTAGAGAAAGGAGATGGGCCAGAGTCGCGGACATAAAAAGACTAAAATAGTGGAAAAACTATTTTATATTTGTTCTAGCCAACGTTTCAACAAAAATAATTAATAGAAAAAAAAAAGTTTTAACTCTGCCAGTTTCGGTCCACAGCCTAAACCTAAAAGGAGGATGGAAACAATAAAATAAGATAGTAGTAAGAGCCGGTAATGAAGGATGGAAAGCAGGTAAAAAGCATGTAGCACAGGCCGGTTCTCAGGCCGCCGGCTTATGCAGCACTGTGGTAGATGTAAAGCTCATCACTCACAGCAGCGAAAAGGTTAAAAGATCACTAAATTCCCTACAAAACGAAAAAAAAAATTATTGAAATCAGACAATTACTAGCGAAGGTACAGCTCATTGAAATTTGTAAATATGTTGGTTCAAAACATTAATGAAGTTTAAATTAATTGGTGTTTCTTTTGTTGATTATAATTAGTTAGAAAATAAGAATTGATTTCTCCATCTTGTGATACGTTGCATTATTTTATTTTCATATCAATTTATCATTTGATCACTAACCAATATACTGTGTGAATTATTCGCATGGACCAACCACTTTAAATGATTTCTATTGAAATTTTTTGTTAGGTAATAATAATATATTATTGATTCTAGGCATATTTCATTGGAGTTGTTTGGAGTTGCTATAAATACCTTACCTTACGTCTGATATCAGCCCAAAGAACTCTTCATCTCATCGAGCCAGAATCTGCCCAGGATTTACTTCCAGACTACGACACAGCAGTAAAGTTTCCTCCACCACCACCTCCTTACAACCAAGCTATGTCACACCCTACCGCATAAGCAATTAAAATTTAGACATTTGCACAATCCTTCCCTTATTTTTTACATTAATACATACTACATCATCTGAAGTAGCAATAAATATATCTGTTGAAGGTTGGATGGTTAAAATGTAAAAAAAAAAAATGATTAACTCCTGATGAAAGTATGGAATTTTCTTTTTATATAAGCTGTTAAGCAGTGTGATAGAGGTATACAACATAATTAATTATCCATTTTATATTTCAACCTATACTTTCTCGATCCTTCTATAAATTGTGATGGATTAGATTTTACTTTGATAGCAGAAGTATTTGTTATCAAGAAATGCTTTCTTTTCTCAGCTGTTAAGAAATAAGTAAATTTTTCCAACATCTATAGAATTATTGATGTACCTATTTTAGTCTGTGTACATTTTTCCATATTATCATTTCATTTCAAAATACATTGAACCTTTTATAATTAAAGTAAAAGGCTGAGAAAAGTGAATTTTATAAGTATTATTAATTTATGTTATTGATAGATAAAACACTTTCTCCCTGTAATAGCATAGATTATAATATGTATACATTTATAAATAGATAAAAAATTACCTGTCCTCTTCGTTTTTCCTATTTCTCAAAACATTATTTTATATATTATTGATGTAAGTTGTAACACAACTTATTTATAATGAATGTGTTATCACATTGTTTTTTGGGGCTTTGTATTTTGAGTTTTTGGTTGTATTCTTATCATTTCCAAAATTATCAGTTGCACACAATGCACTTGATATTACCCCCAAGAATTAAAATGCACTGATAATCTACCATTTCAAATTATTGGCGGCTCATAATTATTTTTGATTAGTTTCCATTTTGTTAGATATGGGTGTATATACTTTTATAGAGTTATATAATATATATATTAATTTCCAATGTTTATTATGGTTTATGAATCAATAAATGAAATTGTTTATTTTTGTTTTAATCATATTTCTTATTTATATTTATTTAACCTTATTTCAAAGTTTGATTTAAATAAAAAAATTGACTAAAGCATTAAGGGGCTTGATTCAAGAACCAGGTAAGTTCAAAGTTTTCTATTCCTTTTTCAATGGATTATTTTCCTTGTGCAACATTGCTATTCTGATTGGTGCAAGAATCATTGATAAATATAACATCAGTGCTCGCCAGTTTGGATTACAATGGAAAAATTAAATCATCAGGAAATATGAGAAACCAACCTTTTCTCACTTTCACATTAATATTGGTCTTATTAGATCAAAGATTAAAAAACAAATATTGTCATTTTTTTTTCAAAAAGAAGCATACTGTAAGTACATTTTTGTTAAAGTTGTTTCAATAATTTTTGATGAAAAATACAAGCAGCTGTATTTAAGTGAATTAACCCTAAAGCATAGAATAATCATTAAATTCATCGATAGTCACCTTATCACCTTTCTCAGTATTGTTGCAACTTTCACTTACCACTCTACTTTGAATAAAAGTTATTCCTTACTATTACAAAGTTTTTGAAGTACATTTTTAAAGGAGCTAAGCCTTAAACCTTGCAGCTAACCTGTAACAACTCATTGAGGTTATTTACATATCACAAATCCTATTTATCAATGGTAGGAAATAAATTCATTGTAACTCCATCTGATATTTTGAACCATGTAAGTCCAGTCTCTGAGGCAACTATGCCAAGAGACATTTGAAAGTACATCTGATTATTTAATCTATAAATTACTCTGGATTGTACTACTATTAGTTATTAACTTTATTTTCCAATAGTAAAGTTTATTAAAATAGTTACGAGATTTTCATTACCTACTATGGATAGGTCAAAAGTTGTCCAACTAATTTTAAGTGGATAATGTGATTTCATAACTGAAAACATCAAATTATTCCCTAATTTATTTTTCTAAAATTTTACATGATTTTTCAAAATCAACCGACAATAAGTATTTGTTCAAAAATATTATCTGATCTCCACACAGATCATTTTGCAGGACTTGGTTGTTTGTGTATTTCCATTGAAAACTCTTAGCATTTCCACAATCACAATTCTTTCCCTTACTATTATATATTATATGTATACAGTTATTCAGATTACTTCCTATTAGTTTTACTATGTATTACAATCCTTAATCTTTTATAGATTAAATTCATAGATGTACTTTGAAATATCTTTGTATTTAGAGATCGAGGGCTGCAGTTAAGTGGTTCAAAAAGACAGAAGAAGTTACGATGTTTTCATTATCTACCGCCCATATAATAAATAGTGTTGGTGTTATTTTAATGGCCTTAATGATATTTTAATGTTAACTGTAAGGTTTATGGTTTCACTCCGTTAAGTATTCACTTCAAAAACTTTGTAATAGTACAAGTTTATTCAAATTAGATGTTTATTTTTGTTGTTGGGTTGTTAAAAATGATGACATTAATTAATGTGCAGACTTCCTTCAGGCTGGGTAGTCTAGATCTGTTAAATTTATGTCTCCAGCAGACTTGTATTTGCATCCTATTTATCTAAAGGGAAGGAGTCTTTATGGCTTGATGGGACAAGTGGAGGACCCAACAGGAATATAAGGCCCTATTACCATCTTATTTCTACATGTTAACTACTGGAGTGTTCTCAGATCCCCTTTCTGGCCTTTCTCATATGGATTTCAAACATACAAGAGATGATACTTTGTGTCTATCCAATGAGGCCTGTAGATAGTTTATGTATATTTAAAAATCCATTTATATAATATCACAAAATAACACTGCCTTGTAACAAAAAATTACAAATAAAGTTTTTAGTCAGGTGTGGAGGTTATGGTTTTAGTTTCTTGCCATTTTTTTTTTCTGCTTGTAAATACTAAAAGTAGTAAACCAGGCAATACTTTATTATAACATCTTTTAAACAAAAAATAATTAATTTTTCATTCATAACTAACTTTTAAATTTTGTGAATGTTTTTCATTTTGCATTTTTCTCTTCATCTTGAATAGTTTATACTTTTACGGAATTAAACATCCATTAAATGAGAGTTATAATATTTTATTTAAAATTTTAACCTGATTGTTTGAGACAACACAACACACTCATACATTGATGGTGTCATTTTAAAAGTAGTCTATAAAGTAGAAAATCTTCCTATATCATTAATCACTCTTTTTTACTCTAATTTGTTTGTAATTTTGTTTTTGCTTCCAATCACATAATTTCATAGGGTTTTATTAATGAGCATCTTCCATCATGAAGTATTTTGGCCTGACAATTTCTAGTTTCCCCAATAAAAATCATTTTACATTTTATTATAAAATTAAGTTAATAATTATATTAAATTAATTGTTTTAATAATCGCCTAAAGGTAGCAGCACAAACCAAGGAAATCAGAAAATAATGGTTTTAAAAAGTACCACAAGAGGCCAGCACAATCCAGACATGTGTTTCTGAAGTCCAATGTGACAAGAAAATTTTTATTTTGTATTAGGGGAGTGTGAGCATACAGTAGTTAACCGAGTTAGGCTCTATGCTCTGTAGTGCTGATACCTAGTGGTATTCCCTGAAACTATAATAGTTCCCATCAATTCCACAAGAGGCCAGCATAATCGATCCCAGATATCCTAGAGCTTTAAGCTCCTGTAAACTCCTACTCTCCTAACACAAAATAAAATTTCTAACCCGACTCATTTGCTAACGAGGTATAACCCGCAACCATTGAACTGCTAATGTTGGCTATACTCGGTGCGCTATAAGTCCTCAGTGCTAACGTCGGCTATAGACGTCCAATACTTTTTCTTCCATTTGCTGATATCGATTATAGTAGCCGCGACCATGCTTACTAGTTTCCTAGTGAAATAAAGCTTCTAACTAGCCTTTGTATCCTAGAGTCTAGCTAGAGCCTACATTTGAGTGGGGATTTGTTTTGGAGCTTTTTGTCTTGAGTTCATGAATCGCAAGGCGATAGACGTCAATACCTTTTCTCTGGCTGCATCCACAATTTTCGTCCTGTGTGAAACAACCATGTGTTCAACTGCTCTGAGTTTATAAAAACGTTATTTAGTTTAGCCTAGTTAAGTTAGTCTTTTTTTTTTTTACTTCGTTATTTTCTTTAAAATGGAGAAGCAGTGGTTTACTGGTACGGAATCTGCTGAATTCATTACTGCTGCCGAAAGAAATATAATATAAAAAAATATTCAGCGTAAAACCAAGGAAGAATGTCGCAGTTGTAATGTTTTTCTTGGTATTGGCAATTGTTTGAAAGAATACCTAACAAAATTAAATTATTAAATAAATATTTAAACATATAAAAAAATTAAGTTATGTGCATAATAGCCTAATTTTTAAGACCACACAGCAGAACTTAAAACATCAACAAAGCGATAGTAATAATATCGAATATAAATTAGAAATAATAGCTTACTATAATGAGGATGAAATGCAGAACATTTCTCTCACTTAAAGTATGCAGGCTCGATTTTTAGTTTCTGAGATATTTTTTGAGACACTTCTGGCTGAAGCCTTTCTCCCTCCAAAATATAAAAAAATTATCTCTTAAAGTATTCTTATAAAGTATTATTGTTCGTGTAATTCCATTTAATAGGACTACAAGAATCACTTAAACACCATTTCATATAGGTAGTTAGTTTCTTTCTTTTTTTTAAATGTAATTATTATATATATGAAAAAAAAAGCTATTGGGCTAAAGCCCTCCAAAATTAAATCCTAGATCCATTAGTGCACATCGGAGATATGATGGCTCAATCTAATTCACTCTCCACAAAAGAAGTTTTAACTTAAAAAAAAAAATTTCAAAAAAAAAATTCAACACCACAATTGTCTGTCCACAGTCCGAATCTAGGAAGAAAGGAGAATGGAAATAATAAAATAAAAAAAAATAGATTGGGAACCCTGCTTGAGTACTGCTGGCCTCTTGTGCTGCTTTGTAGAACTATTATTTTCAAATTTTTTATTTGTACTTCTATTTCAAACCAAACCGAGCGGTATGTATCTTATTTTCTTAAATAATTATAGTTATTATTATCT